CAACAATTACGAAATGGCAAAGAGGCTGCAATCCTTAAAGAAGTTTGAGAGCTGCCCCGAGGTCAGAGAGAGATATGCAAAGTCAATCCAGGATGACATTGAGAAAGGCTATGTGAAGAAACCGAGTGAAGAGGAAGTACAGTGCGATAGTAAAGTGACTTGGTACTTACCACACAGATTTGTCATTAACCTCAAGAAACCTGATCGTCTCAGAAGAGCATGGCCAGAAATCTGACATTCAGCGGTTTGAAACGGGGACTCGTGTATCCAAAAAAAAATTGCTACTACGCACGCGTTCTTGCATCAGATTACATACAGCAAATTATGGCGAGCGGCGTAAGGTATTCGAGCAAGAATAGCCGCGGTATATTTCTTCAAATGCACAATATTTCTTCTGCGGACCCTCTTTGGGATAAAAAAAAAAATGTAGAAAAAGAAAAGCTCATGTCTCTTCTGATTATTCTGCCGTGGAAAGGCTAATCTCGAGGAGGACATCACATGGAACGGTGAGTTCACAATTTGCCCTGGTAATATATTTCATTAATTTTCTTACATACTAAAGTTTTATAGTTAAAATCCTCAGGTTAAATATTTGGTGAAATGGAAAGGGTACAACGGGTTTTATAATAGTTGGGAAGATTAAGAGAACTTGACTACCGATCTTATCAGGTATTTATTGTTGTGTCATTTTTTCAAACTGTACTTATATTACCATTACAAGTAAGTAATAAGCTCATACATAGAAAGGTTTATACTTAACTAGTTTTTTTTCACCAATAATACACGCAGTGATTGCTGCTTTTCTTTTTCTTCTGCCTTAGCAGTACTTTCAGTATAAATTGTTCATAGACAACCCCTCTTACAATGTTTCCATTTTCATTATTTTTCATTACAGAACTTATGACGAGCCAATTGTTGACAAAGAGAGGCTAACTCGACACGTTGATAACCTGAGATTATCAGTCCTCTTTAAATTGAGAAGTAAATCTAGGTCTAATGCCATTTTGGACTTCGATCGTGATTGTTTTGGTTTTTTGTTTTATGGTGAAGGAAAGAAGGGAAGGGAGAAGGGGTATACTTTGTAAGAATAAGGATGATTTTAACAAATGTGATTTACCGGAAAACTGGGACAGGGTAATTGATTGTAATGATTGGGGGTAAGGGGGGAAATTAGATTGTTTTTAGCAAAATCACCAAAAACATATTATATTGTAAATGGGCAAATTCAAGAAGATCAGAGAATGTTAATTGAGAAACTATCAATCGATTTCAGTCGCCAACCTGTAACTATTCAATCATAGATATTATGATAGCACTGAAAATGAAATTAACTGTAATGGCTTTAGGGAAAGTAAGGGGTTCCGCTTGAATGCAAAAGCTACTAAGAATATGACCAATAAGTGAGTTGAATGTACAAAATATAGATGGCCCCCATCTATTGACCCAAGGATTAATCCACAGTGATGAATTTTCTTTTATTTACAAAGTTAATTATAATTTGTTGAGTTGATGCGTTTTCACTGCACTCTTTGCTTATCAAGTAGCTTTTCATGTGAGTTTGTTTATATAATTTTGAATGTGTAAGGGAGTCCTTCTTAGAGTAACTAAAGCCATTTCATGCTCCCAAAATACTAAATATTTCGTATTTTCTCATTGACAAATTTCCTCCAGTTGTTTGATTAGTTCAGCCTTGTTTTTGTTGTTGAATCCTTTAGCATTTCTCTTCTTTAATTCGTCTTTCAATTGCTTCACTGTCATATAAGAACAGCTAGTGTCAGTGGTAATGGATTCAGGGAGGGGATGTTCATTTTGAGCTTCAATAGATTGCTAAAGAGGATCTTGACTTAAATTTACTCGTGCCTTTCTTCGGTTTTCTTTAATTTCAACATCCCAGTAGCTCTCCTTGTGCCTCGTGTAACTACGTACTTCCCGCTCGTGTTCTTTAAGCTCCCACTGACGTTGCTCTTGTCGCAGAACATCTCCTGCAGAATCCCACTTGTTGGACTTTCTCAGAATTATAGCACGAGCTACATCATTGTTCTTTTCAACTCCTTGCCCTGTAAATATTGTAACTCTCGGTTCCATTAACTATGCCAAGAGTTATGTTTCTTTTTGCAGATATAACGGTCTTCTCTTCCTTTCGTGTTGAACTACTAGGGTTAACTGTCAAAGAATCAGACAGTGATGTGGTTTACAACATCACACGTAAACCCAACTGTCAAGATTCAGCCACTCAAGCAGAAGGAGAAAGAAAGTATAGTACCTTGTCTGCACAAGAAAAAGAGAATGTTGAAAAATCCTTTTCTTTTTAGACAAATTTTGTGTGGGGGATTCATTTTACCACGAAATTTCCATGATCACTGATAGTCTACCAAGGTCCTACTTGGTCAAACAATGCCGTGATGACCTGAACAAAATGTGCAAAATTGAACCACTAAATGCTCAGTTTGAAGGGGCTAAAGTAACTTCCGTTGAAACTTTGTTTAAAATACATATCTCTGATTTCCTGAAGCAAAACAGTGACTTTGACCCCATCACTGATAAAATCAAAATCAAAATCAATGGTGATGGTGCAAGAATGACGCGAAATTCAAATTTTATTTTACTTTCATTTTCTATTCTGCAAACAGAGGAGTAAATAAAAGTTTTCAAGGTCCTGAACATATTTATCACAGTTGAAAGAGGTTTTCCCTGGTATGAACTAATTCCCATTGAATTTTCCAATGATGCAATATAATCTTCAAGCTCTTTGTTTGTTTTCTGCAAAATTTGGGTTTCATTTTCCTTTTGGTTCACTGCTAGCACCATTTCCTCACAGATTCCTTCCTTCTCCAACTCTAAATCTTCATACGCCTTTTTCCAATCTTGTGGTTCATTTTGTATGTTTTCAATTTCTTGATAGAGTTCATGAACAGGTTTTATTGGACCCTCCATAACATGAACCTTTCGGACTCGATATTCCAATTTTTTCTTGCCCTGCCCTTAGTTTTTTGTAATCTAATGAAATTTTATAAGCGATATTTAACAAGCCTTCTTCAATTCCAACTCGTATATTTTCATCATCGCTAAAGGCAAAGCAATGCCCGAATGTGCACTTTTCCACCAAATCTATGTAGCTGAACCTTTTTGCCGTAGGTGAGTTTTCTGCTGCACTTGTAGAAGGAGAATTTGCCTGTATTCCAAGGATCTTCACATCCGCTTGACAAATCATAACCGAAGTGCTACGCGACAGAACGTTTCGTTCTTGAACAATTTTATGCCATTCGCTTAAAAGAGGATAAGGAATTTCCAAAGTAAAAAGCACTCTTTTCTCTTTTTTCCTCGCCTCATATCTTAATTCCGGTTGAGTGAATCTGATTGCATCCTTAAAACGCGAGCAACATTGACTAAATTGGTCGCTCATTTTACTTGCAAATTTTTGGGAGATTGTGTGATACCATTGCACAACTTATTAAAGCACGGTTACATAGGTCAAGTAAAGCATTTTGGGATTCAAGATGGAGGACGAAGGGGCTAGAAATTACGGTTTACTGTCGACTAAAAACACGGCGTTTTCCCGAAATTTTTCTTGGGTTTTAAAAATGGCGTCACATTAAGGACTATTCAGCAGTATTTGGGCTGTTTTTGCACCAAGTTTGGAACCGATTTAGAGGCTTCAATAGCTCCTAATTTTGCATTACAAATGAAGTTTAGCATGTGAACAAATCAGTTCGATCTGGAAGAATATTCCTGTGAACCAGCGAAGTGGGGTGATTTTCCTGGACCCAGGAGGATATGCTCCGGTTTACCGGACTGAAGGGTGATCCGGGTACGACAAAGAGGAAGATCTTGAGCCAAGCATTCTCTGTTTGGGATCCACGAGGACTCCTCCTTCCATTCACTATCAAAAGTAAGATCATCTTACTCAGTCTGAAACGTATGAAGTACGGGTGGGATGATGAGTTGAAAGAAGCTGATCTTCAAGAGTGGCGTGAATGGCACAGGGAAGCAGAGAAGCTTGACGAAGTGAAAATACCAAGAACTGAAACCTATCCGAGAAACAGAACTTCATGTATTTTGTGACGCCAGCCAGGATGCCTATGGTGCGTGTGCGTACCTAAGACGTGCGTTTACAGATGACACAGTAGAGTGTAGTCTTATTGCGGAAAAGGCCGTGTTTCCCCTTTAAAGTTACTGTCTATTTGCCGGCTGGAGCTCATGGGAGCTCTAATAGCTGTGCGATTAGCTGAAACACTAGTGAACGAAATGACCGCAAAGATAGAGAAGATAATCTTCTGGAGTGACTTCACCACAGTCTTGTATTGGATCCGCCAGATAAGTTCCACTTATAAAGCATTCGTCGGCAACCGGGTGTCTGAGGTTCACACAATTATGAGCAATCTGAAGACCACACTGGGGGCGGGCGCATTTCAATGTTAAAAAAAAATTCAACTAACTATGCAAGAAATTTGTTCCCAGGTTATGAGAATGCAAGTCAGTTTGTAAGTTGTATGCACCAGGAGATTGCTCACGGCTAGAACATGTGGATTGGTAGTTCAGACCCATGCTGAACAGGTCGAAGGGTAGAGACCAGGCAAAGTGTGATCCCCTGATGCTAAAAGTTGGGAGTTGGGTTCTAGACAGTTAACCCAACCCAATAAAAATTAGAAGAGTCAACCTCGATAAAAAAAATCCAGGCAGGTAGTGTTTGTGACCTGATGTGCTGTTCAGACTTGACCTCCCAAGAGTTCGTGATGTTTCCGACCTAGTGAGCGATCTGATGGGGAAAAATTATCACATCTTTTGCGATAACTTTTTCACTTCTGTTCGACTGGCTGAAGATTTGCTTTCCGACAAACTGTACCTTTGCGGAACAACACTGGCGAAACTGTCTTTCGTCGGTGAGGAAACATTGTTACATCTGTGTGGAAGGACAAGAAAGCCGTGTCTTTTGTTGGTACCCAATGCGATGCAAGGGGAGCCGAAACCGTGACTCCCAAGAGTGCCATATGGCACTTTGGCGTGACCGTCACGTTTTCCCAAGAGTGCCATATGGCACTCTGAAAATGCATTTGTATTAACCAATCCTAACGTGTGATATAAATGAGAAAAAGCCCTTCTTTGTCTTTTAGCCAATAGGAGATATCCTTATGTTTCGTTTGACACAAAACACGAGGTAGGTTCCCATAGAAATATTTTTCACAATCGACCATCGAAAGTGAGTAAGCGAATTTCCGTAACCTTGCGTTATTATGGCGTCCGATTCTGAAGGAGATGAATTTTTAGGCTTCGAAACTGAAGAAGTAGAAAGGGCAAGAGCTTTGCGAAGGCAATTAAGCGATGAATCTGATATTTCAGTTTCTGAGAGCGAAAGCGAGAGCAGCAGTGAGAGCGAAAGCGAAGAGGATATCGACGAACGCTGGACGATAGATAACTCGCCTGTCCATGTTGAAGAATTTGTCGAACGCACTGGTCCGACTTCACGAGTTCCAGAAGATGGAACAGCTTTGGATTTCTTTCTCCTTCTTTGGCCAGAAGATCTGTTCGAAAAAATTGTGGAGGAAACCAACCGTCATGCCGAACAGTGCATTCAAACGAAACCAGACCCGAGGTGGCACCCAACAACATGCGAAGAAATGCGTGCATTCTTCGCGTTGAATGTTTTGTTTGGAATAAAGTCCTTGCCGGAAACAAGAATGTACTGGTCGAAAGACAACTTTATTGGTGTTCCAACCATTCAAAAAGTAATGCCGAGGAATCGCTTCGAGAAGATTCGACAATATCTTTGTTTAAACAATCGTTTAAACATGTTACCGCGAGATAACCCTGCCTATGACAAGCTCTTCAAAGTGCGTCCTTTGTTGGATAGACTAGCCAACACATTCCACGAAGAATATCGCCCATCAAAGTTTGTATCAATTGATGAAGGAATGGTCAAGTACAAAGGAAGACTTGGCTTCAAACAGTACATGCCCATGAAGCCCGTGAAACGAGGCATTAAAGTATGGGTGCGTGCTGATGCAACGAATGGTTTTGTGAGCGCCATGCAAGTTTACACAGGCAAAAAAGATGGTGGCCAGCCTGAACACGGTCTTGGACATCGTGTTGTTTGCGACCTTGTCAACGATCTGAAGGGGAAAAATTATCACATCTTTTGTGATAATTTTTTCACTTCAGTTCGACTGGCTGAAGATTTACTGTCCAACAAACTCTATCTTTGTGGAACAACACGTGCCAATAGAACTGACTTTCCCAAAGATTTAAAAGCTAAGAAGCCCGAAGTGAAAGCGCTCCGTCGTGGCGAATCTCTCTTTCGTCGGAAAGGGAACATTGTTGCATCCGTTTGGAAAGACAAAAAAGCCGTGGCTTTCATAAGTACTCAATGCAATGCAAGGGGAAACGAAACTGTTCGCAGAAAGCAGAAGGATGGAACTTACATCGAAGTTCCTTCTCTCCCAGTAGTAAAACTCTACAACCAGTACATGGGAGGAGTAGATCATAGCGATCAGATGCGGCAATATTACGATACGTCAAGACGAGCAAATAAATGGTGGCGGTATCTGTTGTGGTTTTGTCTAGATGTAAGCATTGTGAATGCACATATTTTAATGCAAATTGCGGATAACCATCCGAACTTCACGCAACTTCAGTTTCGCATCGAAATGGTGAAGATGCTGATCGGCGACTTCTCATCCCGTCAACATGCCGTTCAAGAAGGAACTGTTCAGACTGGACATTGGCCCGTAAAAATGAGCAAGGGAAGGTGCAAGAGATGCTTGAAAAGAAAAAAGACAACGTTCTGTCGAATGGGATGCGATTCATGTGGCGAGAGGTTCTGCTTGGACTGTTTCAAAAATCATAACACCGAAGCCTGACGTGGCGCGAAATTCAAACGTCTCGAACAATGAACGCTCTTTTGTCTCGGTTAAAAAAAACACTTTAGAAGACATACCAGTAATTTTGTTTGTGTTCTTTTGAAATTTATAATTTTCGCTGTAAATATTTCCGTAAAATATTTTTGCTTTACCTACCTTATATCGAGAAATTACCTTGTGAAACAACATATATGCTTTCATTCATTAAATCAAAATGGTGTGATGAACAGTTTTGCGTGTTGCATGATTTTGAGGTTTGTTTTGTCAGCTTATTTTCTCATATTGGAGATGTTACCTATCTTAAATGAAAACTTCAATCTCTGTAGAATAAACTTTCTCTGCATTGGTGAGTCTAAAATTGCCTGGTTCACTCACTATTTTGCTATAGTTGTATGGCACCTCAAATTTGCCTTTCAGTAGTCACCATGATACCCGAACCCCATGGGCAATTAGGGCATTTACCTAGATAGGCACCTTTTGTCTGGTCTAAGAAACATCACCGCTAGCTATCCCACAAACAGCTCATGGATGAGTTTGTTGAACTTGTGGAGTCAGAACTTGTGGGGTCAGAGAAAAAAACAAGAAGTGGCAATAAAAGTTTCCTGTTTTGACGAGGAAAATGAAGAATCTGACAGTTGAAGGGATGACAGCGGATTGGAGGACGATGACGATAACGAAGACTACTTTTCTGAATGAAAGTCGACTGTGTTTTAACAATAGACACAAGTTAGGCTCAGATCTCAGATGAAGGTATAGTTTTATTGACACTGATTCATCAAATGTGCAGTTAACTCTCCCCCGTAACTGAATTTTGATATTCGAAATTAAAGATGAACGTATAAGAAAGTAAATACTTAGAGCCTTTCCAAACTTGTGATAAACTACATATACATGTTGTTTAGGTTCTTGCGTATTTCAAGGCCCAGATCCATTCAAAGGACATAAACGATATCACAAACCAAACAAATTAAACCATCCAGCAGAGTTAAAGATTATCCTATTTACTATCATTTTATTTGTTATTTAACAAATGCATTATAATTATTTTGCTCTGTCAAAATTGCAATTACTTTCTTAAACTCTTGTTTGAACGAAAGGAGTGTAGTTTTATGGCTTGAGTTATTAGAAACTAATAAAAATGTCAGTGTTTTTTGGTATCTGAAATATCCCATTTTGCACCGCAAACTGCTTGAGAGTGCATTTCCAAGAGTCTAGAATTTCAAGATTTTCCAGGAGAACATGCCCCCAGACCCCCCTTGGACGTAGAAATTACTCAGCTTGAATGTGTCAGCCCTGTTCAGAAATATCTGGGCTCAAGGTTCCGGTCACTAAAAAAAAAACCCGTTAGGAATTTAGATGATGGAAAAGGCATTGGCGGAAACGGGAGGCTGACAAACAAATTGATTAACAAACTGCAAGTTTACTATGGCAAAGCAATCAGACAAAACACCCATGACATTGATTGCATGTAAAATGCTGTCATGGCCGTATGGTACCATAAAAAGTCAACAGATGAAAGTCCAGATCGTGATTTCAAGCCTGTTTCGTGGTTGCCCAGTCCTCAGGGGATTTACGAAAAAGTCTACGAAAGTCAAAAATTTACACTTTGTACCCCCTCCAAGTTTAGGCTTGTCGAGCACTCTACGATAATTTGCAATGGAAAAATTCAACAACAAGTAAACAACCCCTTCCTCAATAGGCTAAAAGAAAACACCGACCATATCAAAATGAACCCAAGCTACTAATCGCCGCCGACAAAACAACCAACTTCTACAAACTTGAGCCATCTACATACAACAATATGCTGAAAAAAACATCACGAAATCCTACAAGAAAGCACTACCTGAGACGACGCAAGCAATCCATAAAGAAAACAAAGACATCGCGACGGAACTGGGAATCGACGACAGAGTAGACACTACAACCGATAAAGACGCATTCATAACACTTAAGACTAACACTAGTAGTTTGTCTTTTTCCTCCTACAGTATAAATATAGCCTATATTATCTGAGATATATGTTATTATATCAACCATATTTTAAGTTTCATAGTCATTGCATTTGTAATTAGCTGTACATAGTTCAAACGAATATGAATATTTTAAATACACAGCCCCATCAGCTATGCTGACAAACCTCATTGTGTTAAAGTAAAGATTTCAATTCAGGTTAGCAGGATTTTTCACATGCTTCTAGTCTTAAAATGACATCTATGACCCAAAAAGGGAAAAAAATGAACTCTTTTAGAGCACGAGAAAATTACATCCTGATGTAAATGTGGTTTTACAAAAGAAAGAGGAAGCGAAACTTATAAAGACCAGAAAGAATAACATCCTGGTAAAGACCCCTGAATCATGTCAAGGCAGACAAAGTCTTTTGTCTTATTTAATTCATTTCTTCACAATACATGATAAGTTTGTCAGGATTTTCATTAGAAAAAAATGGAAAAACAGACCATTATTCACATCTCAAAAAAAAAAACAAAACAAAAAAAAAACCATAGCTCAGGCAATTCTGCATGGTAGCGATGGAATTTTTTTAATATCCAGATGCGTTATGATCACCTCAGTACGTGCAGCCAAGGTTAAGGTACAATCAACCACAGCACATCAAACTTTCATTAAGCTTTGATGCTCACCCTTTCATCCAAAATACCCTATCTTCACTCAACTTTGCTGGAATAGAAATACAGTAAATACCAATTTTTATCATTTTTCGTAATTTAGACCGGAACTAGCGTGACTGTCTAGCGTTACAACCGGATATCACATTTAGTATTCATATGATTGACAAGTGAAATTGTAATAGGAGACAGAAGAGTATTGTGAAAGAAGGAGGTTTTAGAGGACAAACAAGGCAAACAACACGAGGATCGTGAGGCCAGTTATTTTGTAATTTTTCGTTTCATTTTCGTTATTAAACCCGGGAATTGTCAGTACATCGTGAGTACTTTTGTGTGCCGTACAACTTCAGGACAATTTGTTCTCAACCCACATATCCTTTATGTTTTCCACTTTCCCCTGATGGTTTGAGTTATTAAGTCAACTAGAATTTAAAATTTGACCGTGTACTTGGCAGATCCTGTTAACTGTAGTCAAACCTCAGCTATTTACATTTTTAGATCATCTGGACTTGCTTCTCAAGACCCAACTTGTTTATGTTGTTAGTTAGCTTTTAATCACTGTAATACATTTTTATCAATACTTTTGGCAAATATTGACAATATATGCACAATGATTAGAGAATGTGCTTTATTTCAAGCATTGTATTGATTAAATGACATGTATTATTTTTGAAGATTTTCTCTTCAGGCTCATTAATATTCATATTATTGATAATCAAGATACTAATCTAATCAAGATTATAAATTATTAAACTATTCAGTCCAGTCCTGATAATTAAGGTTCAAATGTATACTTTCTAAATAATCAAGTTCAAATTCATATCCAAAAAACATTGCACCATTAGCCTCACCACCAAAATCACCAAATGCAAAAAGTGTTGTTCATGGCTTCAGCAAAACTTCTCCTCAGAGCCCACTCCATAGCAAGATTGATTCATAAAACATTAAAGGAGTCCTCCTACTCATATTAAATATCCACCACCACAAAATTTCCAGACCTTTATCAAACTTTTGATGCCATATTTCACACTTTTTAGCATTAACAACAAGTTTAAGCCAGGGAATAACAAAAAGATTTAGCTTCCTTTAGAATTTATCCTTGATAAAAACAAGCGCATTACATCCAATCAAACTCCTGACAGCCTGCAGTGCATTTTCATTGAGGCAACTCTTGCAGAAAGTGAAAAAAACCATCAGTAATGAATAGAATAAAACATCATTCACAATCTTAAATAGAATAATTATTTTCCTTTTGATCCCCATCGAAGGTGATTGAAGTTCAAAGTTTCAAAGAAATCATCACCTACGATGCAAACACTTTGCACTCCACTGCATAAACATCCAAGGGAGCACTGATTTTTCAGAGTAAACTCGCTGCTTTTTCAAACCCAAAAGTTCTTTGTTTTACACAACAATGCAATACAAAGGAAACTTGTAACACTGAATAACAAAGGCACTTGAGTTGCGCACGCAAAAAACTACCCTGTGTTTGAGCATACGAAATTGGTCTGCAGTTAACATATACACGAGCAGTACTGCAAATGAGGAGGAAGAAAAGAGAGAGATGTTTCGTGAAATGCAAGCTGAGATAAGAACACTTCAAAATGATGTAGAAAAAGCTAAGACCACAAATAAAGAATTAATTCATTACACTGAACACCTACAGAGAGCTCCGCAAGACTACAAGGGAAAGGACATTTACTCAAGTAAAGAAAAAGTCAAGGACTTTGAAGACTGTCATGACAAGAGCTCAGACAGTACTGTAGTTTGTTAAGTCCTTTGGACAAGAAGTCGAGTCTCATTGCCATGAAAGAAGTCAAGTCTGGAAGCAAACACAATGCAAACATGGCCAGTGATGAGCAACAAGAAAACACTGCCACAGGGCTTTACTCCCTTTCAAAACAGGAAAAGGAAAAGTAGATCGTTTATTTTATTTTTTGTATTATTATTTTGGTAGGAGACTCATCTTATCATGAGCTCTCTATGTTTAATGATCTTCCAAAATCAACGGCAAACACAGCTAAATAACATGTGCCATATTATATCCACACCTGGAAGAGCCAAGGGTGTAGAAGTTTCATTCCAGGAACTTCTCAAGGAAAGAGTGCAAGATTTATTAACCAAAATCCAGAATTTGATATTGAAACTGAAAGTGTTTAGGTTAAAATATCAGGGGATGGGGCAAGGATGACTTGCAATACAAGCTTTATCATTCTTTTCCTCTGTTGCTCTAAATTCAATGAACAAAATCACAATTAATGGGAAAGAAATAACATTTGAATTCTTTTGGGGGGAGAATATAAATTCATTTTAATCATGTTAAGACTTAAAGGTACCACCTCATTCTATGCTTGTGCCTGGTGCAAAGTTCATAAAGATAAAAGATGGGATATGAACCACGAGGAAGATTTTACAATAAGTCACCATTACATAGAACCCTAGAAGAATTAAAGGGATTCTCAAAAAAGGAACTAAGAAAATTTTTGCTGTGAACAGTAGCCTCTACTAAATATTGAGTTCGACCATGTAATTTTAGATGAATTGCACCTTTCACTTAAATCTAAACTTAAATTGTATCTCAATATTTAATTATATAGATCTTGATTTTTATTTTATTTTTATTTACTTATTTATTTTATTTTAAGGGAGTTTTTACATAGGGTTAACTTCCAAACTTCCTTTTCTAAAAGTACCTTTTTCCCCTTAGTTTTTAATCTGTATATATAGTTTGCTTCTAGAATATATAAATTATGTATGTATTACTAAACAATTTAGGAGGATGTACTACAATGGGATAAAAAAGAT